AGCCAATCAGCCTCAAGAGCAGGAGGATTGTGGGAGGTGGTGAGGTTGGTGTGGGTGAGAGGCTTGTGGAAGCCAGTGGTGGCAGTTGGGCTCTGAGGGTTTTTTTCCTGAGGAGCTGTTTTGTTTGGCGTTTGTAGTTCTAAAAATAAAGTTAGTTTCTTTTGACAAGTGGCTCCTGAATTGTGCCCAGCCAGACTTCGGCACAGGTCAAGCCCAGTGGCCCAGATCCAACCACACCGGCCTATACAGGGCCCAAGTGCACAGCAGGCCTGGTCCACCCCATTCCCTGTGGGGCAGACACTTGCCCAGAGCCTAGCTTCTGGTGCAAGACCGCCGCCTCTGACCAGTGAACTACCAAAGGAGCTGAGATCTAGCCCAGATCGCCCTCACCAGCTCACTAGGAATCCAGGCTCTCAGTAGGCCTGGTTCACCGCCCCCCCTCCATGGGGAAGGGCAAACACTGCCAGAGCCTAGATTTTGGTCCAAGACCACCCCTTCTGACAAGCAGACTACTGAAGACGGCACCCACTCCAACTTACGTGGGACCCAGATCCAGGATGCAGTAGCATCCATTGATGGACACCTGTAGGGTCTGGAAGCCCAACATCAAGGTGAGGTACAGACAATCTGCACGGATACTACAAGAATATAGGGAAGCAACTGTAATATTTCAGATACACATTTCAAGAAAGGAAGACATAGAGACAACATGAAAAAATAAGGGAGGAAAGTGCCCTAAACAAACCAGGACACTATAACAACAGAACCCATGGACAGCGAAATTGATGAAACGTCAGAGAAGGAGTTCAAAAGATTCATAATTAACATGATGTGTGAATCAACGAATGACCTAAATGTGCAATATTATCCTGGTTACTCCCCATATTAGAATATTGACTAGAAATTGTGATAAATATTATCCTGGTTACTCCCCATATTAGAATATTGACTAGAAATTGTGATAACACCTATCTTCTTTTAGTTACTAATTTCACAGTAAAAGTCTACAACTCATTAGGATGCTTGCTGTAGGGCTTTCATACATATTCTTTACCTAGTTCATTATCATTTTTACCTGTAAACATTTATTTTAGAATAATTTTAATTCACAGAAAAATTATAAGAGTATAGAAAGTTCCATATATCCCATATCATATCCACTGTGCACAGTATCTACATGACTCATTAATGATGATGTGAACTTCATCAATTTTTAAGGTTATGTTTGTTAGGTTTCTCCAAACTAAATCACGTGTGTTCCCCATATCATATAGTAAACTTTTGAAGGAGAAGGAAACCCAGAACTTGTCAATCACCAAGATAAGGATTCTAAGAGACAACTACAGAGACTTCCACATCCCAGAAAATGAAGACACACAGAATCCATTTCTCTATGCACAATAAGTCCTAGCAGCCCCTGAAGCATGCTGGCATCTCCTGACTTCTGCTTAGGGTGGTCAAAAGACTTGAAGACCTTGTTTTCATTTGTCCTACTGTAGATCAGGAGAGAAGAGGGTGCTTAGACATTTCCAGGTATCACCAGAGGAAGGACTACTGGGACATTCCATCCCAGAAAGAGGGGAACCCACAAACAAACAAACAACAACAAAAAAAAAACAGCTCTGCCTTCAGCCCTGGGAAGCACCAGGCAGGAAGATCAGGTAGCAACTCTAGCCTACTTCAGTTCCTCTTTAGGAATATGAGGGAAGTAGAAACTTTTTTCTGTGGGAGACATTTTCAGATCTGAGGAGGGAGATAGTTCAAGTCCTGTGTTTAGTATCAAACAATCATCAAAGAGGAGGAGGCTCCCCACCTTGAGGAAGACTGAGGGCCACCATCAATTCAAATACAGGGTGCCAAAGCTATGGCCTGTTCCTGAGAAGCCCTGTTGATACACAGTAGATTGAAGTGACACTTCCTTTCTTCCACTTGGATTATCTTAGGGAAGGGAGGGGCTTATGAGAGGGATAGGATTCACACCCAGAGAGAGGCACCAAGTCAAACTGAGGACTCTCAGAAAAGATGACTCAAACCAATAAAGAGCAATAATGCCCTTCCTCCCAGCTCCTTCACTGACCTGCTTCTGCACTCATGCTTGGGAGGCCCCAAGCAACACCACTGGATATGTTCCCCCCCCCCCATATTATCATTAAGTGTATGGAGCTGAGGTTTTCTCTGTAAGGTCATGACTTCAGTTTAGTAGAGGTCAGAGTACAGGACCTCTGGTAAGGTGAGGGACTAGAAGGACTGAGAAGTATCCTTACCTCACATAGACAAAACAGTGGTCCAACATAGCCCTTGCTGTAAACCCCAGGAAGCCTCCGTTAAAGTCACTGGATGAGCTATTTCCTGACTTCTACCTGGGGATACTGAGAGGTGTGGCCTCAGATCATCAGAGGGAGGAGCCCTAGTCCTGGCCAATCATCAAAGAGGAGCCTCCCCCCCCACACACACACAGAAAAATCAGGCCCCAGTCCTGCCCTATTCCTCCAGTAGCTCCCAGGAGACTCCAGGCAGTGTTGCCACTCCTAGATTTCCCTGACACTCTCAGATTTCCCAGCTTCCACCTGGAGGTTCTGAG